AGTCATCCTCCTACCTAATGGTTTTAGTCCAAAATTTCCTCCACGATTGGTGATCAGCAAGTCATCAAGGGGAGAACAGGTGACCTCACTGAAATTAAGGCACTACAGTAGAAGGATCTTAGCGTTTTCTGCCAGATCAGGCTTTTGGGGTGCGTGCGTGCGTGCGTGCGTGTGTGTGTTTTAATGAGTTTGTTTTCTTATTTTCTCAAGTGCTACTTCTTCGTAAGACTTTAGAAAGAAACAAAATCATGGCATTTCTGAATGAATAAGCTCTTTTTTTCAAGCTGTCATATAATAAAACAAAATTTAAGAACTTTAAGATTGCCCTTAGAGGGAAAAGACTCCAGAGAGAAATTTCACCAAGGAAATTTTAAAAAAATAATTGGTAATTCTCAGACAGCCCAAACTATGTCACAGATAACTACAAGAAGAAATGACTCAGTAAGTCACTGATGACAAATTAGGAGACAGATGTCACCGAGGGTAGAATCTTCTACAGTGAGCTTGCTCACCTTCCTACTGGCTGTTCCCAGGGCTTGGAGACGGATTCATTTCCTCATTGGCTCACTGGCTGCCCCAGCCTCTGGCTGCAGGCAAAGATGTGACTCATCGCCCAGCTTCCCACCAAGCTTGCTCCCCATGTCAATTCTCTCCTCACTGGGTGGAAGGTCTCAGGGCCTCCCATGGTGGGAAGTTCACTTTTGTTTCTGCTTCAGCACAGTTTGATAAGATACAGAGTGAGAAAAAGTAGTCAAGGGCTAAACTATGGCAGAAAATATGGGGAATTTTTTCTTTATATTCCAAGAGACAGTGCTTCACAGAGGGCTAAGTGTGTCTGCAACAAGACTCTGTGTTCAAATTCCAATGGAAGCACTTTCCACATATGTAACCTTAGGCAGTTTCTAATTGCCTTATGCACCTCAGCTTCCTTTCTCATAAAAAAGGATTTTACCAGTGCTTACCTCTTTATTATGAGTGGAATACTTAAGACAATGCCCCTAGGAACTCATCTTTAATGAATGATTCTACATTAATAATAACATTAAGTTATAAAGAGTAGGCTGCAGATTTAGCTCAGTGGTTCTGCCACCTGCCTTGAAAGCTCAAAGTCCCAAGTTCAATCCCGGGTACCCTGCCCCCCCCCCCCCAAAAAAGTTATAAAGAGCATGGGATAGAAATAGTCAAGCAGTAATTCTAAAATACTGAATTTATGTTGAGACTTTTGGGGGAAGTAGGAGGTAGATTAAAAAATAGGCTATTGAAAACTAGGCTGGGGATGTAGCTTAATGGTAGAGCACTTGCCTAGCACAAATGAGGCCCTGGGTTCACTCTCCAGTACCACACATACACACACAAAAGCAAAAACAAAAGGCACTAAGCCCTAGGTGTGGGTAGGATTTGTTGATGAGTAGGAGTAGTAAGGTGGTTTGAGAAATAGTGGGAATGGGGTTGAGGAAGGCACAGCTAGCATCCCCCAGGGGGCCTGGTCTGTGCTCAAGAGCTTTGTAAGCATTACCTCATCTAACCTTCAGAATTGTTTCTCCCAGGCAATGCAGAGTTGTGGAGTGGTTGAGGGCCCTGTCTGAGGTCCAGGTGCTGGACAGGCCAGCCCTGAACTGAGTACAGGGCTTCCTTTGGGCTGAAGGACCTGTTGCTTGGCCAGGACAGGTCATGGTAGGAGCAAGTGCAGCCTCCTCTTTTCCTGCTCAGCATCCGAGCAAGGTCTTGGTTCTCAGCAGCTTTGTCCTTCTTTACCGCCACCTCCTACTCAGCTCTGAGGAGCCAAGGGCTGTCATTATTCCTTAATCAGTCTGCATCAGACTGTCTCAAGGGTTCTTTTCTTTGAAAAATAAGCTCAGCACGCCATGTCTAGTGTACAGGAGAGCCCCAAGAGTCGAATCAGATGAGCTAGGCACTGAAAAATAGGCCCCTTAGATGTGCTGAGCTTCAGTCCTGCAGATAGGGGATATGCTTTCCATTCTTGTTTTGAAAAAAGAAAACTGGTCTTTTGAGAGGTTCCCTTGTTTAATCAAAGTCCTAGAGCTACAAAGTACTCCTCCAGAAGCTCAAGCCCAGGTCTGTGGCATCCTGAAGCCTAGCTTTCTTCTCTTTCCCCAGTGCCCCACAACCTATGAGGTACTGGAAAGAATTCCAGGTGTGCTATTCTTGGTGCCTACTCTAAAACATAGTACTTTTCTTCTCAATCTCCCTTCTGCCCCCATTTTTCCTCCACTACTGAGTATTGAACCCAGGACCTTTGCACCAAGCTACAGTCCCAGACCTTTTTATTTTTTATTCTTTTAGTATTGAGATACGGTTTCTCTAAGTTGCTAATTTTCCAGGCTGGATTTGAACTTGCCATCCTCCTGCTTCAGCCTTCCAGAGTGCCGGGGTTACAGGTGTGCCACTGCCCCAGGCTTCCTTCTGCCCATTCTCCATTTACCATTTCCCTTCCCTTCAAAAGGAAGCAACTTATTTCACTGACAGTCTTGGCCGTTAAAATTGCTAGCTGAGGAAGAGCTCGTTGGAAAGCTGCTGGTGGCTGTAGCCTTTTAGCCCCAAATGGAATTACTGGCACTTAGCTGCTGGGGCTCTCTGTGCTCCTGCTCCCTTGGAGGCTCCAAGCCTGGGAGAGCTGGGGAAAACGGTGGATTGGAGAAAAGCTTTATGCAACATCCCTGTTGGGACTGCAGTGAGCAGCAGGGGGTTTTTTGGTACTGGGGATCGAACTCTGGTCCTTGCTCTTGCAAGGCAGGCGGCGGAACCACCGAGCTAAATCCCCAGCCCCAAAGCAGCATCCACCTTATTTTCACCTGAGCTGTCAGTCCTGCAAACCTTGCTCTCATTTTCTTTCTTCAGTTGTCTTATCTTTGGGGATTTGTGTGTTGATGGCAATAAAACCCTCAGGTCAGCTTCCTTGTCTGGCTGAGGAGGAGGGAGGGGAATCCTTTTCTTCCAAGGGAAGTTGCTGGTAAGGTAACCGTGAGAGCACAGCCCCTGGGAGGGCCAGACCAGCCTGGTCTCCCGGGAGCCCGGCCAGCTGGAGGACTAGCCCAGCCCGGGAGTCTCCGCAGGCCTGGCAGGCGGCAGGCGGGGGGCGGGGCCATGGCGGCTCCGCCCCCACCCCAGTGCCCTTCCCGATGCGAGAACCCTGCAGCACCAGGCGCTCCCTGCAGAGCCCACCCCAAGGTGCCACACGGGGTCCTTTTCCAGGAAAGTCCCAGCCAAAGCAAGGTTGGGAGTTTGGTCCTCTTGTCTCCTGCCGGGGGCGGCCTTTTGGATGATCGCTCAGTGCCGAGGCTGAGACGCGGACTTCTCACCTCAGCTGGAGAAAGGCCAACAGCCCCAGAGCAGGATTGAGAGAAAGAAGTGCTTTTTCAGTGAAAGGACTTTCTGGCCATGGTAAGCAGGTGAAAGGTGTTATTTTGTCTTGGAACAGACAGTACTGCAGGACGGATCCTTTCAAAGCACTGCAAAGGCTGACCCCAGGAGAGGCACAGATGACCTGTGGAGAGGGGAGTGGTTCAGAATGGCAGGTGCAGGGCTGCTCCGGGCGTCCCCTTCTGCCTCCGAAATGCACCCTCGTCCCTGCCTTCTCAGTCTCCCTTCTTCTCCTGCCCAACTCAGATTCCCCAGGATCCAGCCAGTCTGGGAAGTGAGAGCCCAGCCTTTCTAGCGGGAAGGGCAGGTGCGGGAGGGTGCGGCCCTTGGGCAGGAGCTGGCCTCGCCTCTGTATGTAAGGGCGAAGGTATCAGTTAAATGACCACTCTGGGAGACTTTGCAACCCTCTTTTCATTTTACGGGGTGTGTGGGGGGGATTCACTTATGCTCATTAGAGATTCCCCAAACCAATAGAGAAAAGAAAAAAACAAAAGTTTACTTTGTGTAAGAAAGCCCTTTATGTAAGCTGCTTCCTATTTATGCCTACTTAGCATGAGTAGGACAATGCACACAACTCTGTTGGGAATTGATTGGGCGTTCTCTTGTCACACCCCCTCATTCCACCTGTGTGCCCAGTCTTCTGGAACCTCGCCTTGGTGACCTTGAGCCATGCTGCCAAATCCTGTTCTGGCAGCCACACCTAGCCTCTCGTCTGAGGTGGACCCGGGCTCTTTCCCAGCTCACTGCTCTGGTCATGCATACTGGCCTCCCTCTCTCTGGACTTCAGCTTCCACACTTTCAATGCCAACGCCTTTCCCTCCAGTCCTCACTTCTCAACAAGTTTCAGAGGTGACAGTCGAGCTGGCTGTGGTCATCTCCCCTTGGACATCCTGTAGGCGCTCAGCCTCGAGGAGGCCAGAACTGGGCACACATTCTCTGCTTTACTGGGTTTCTGTCTGTACATGGTGAGACCATCCACTTACCTCCTCAGCTTGAAACTCAAGAGTGGTCTCTGTTCTCTTCCTCACACCCACATTTGCAGAACACTTCATAAATATGCCTCAGATCCATCCTGTCTTCTCCACCCCACTGTCAGGCCCAGACAGCATCTGTGGTAAATGAACAGCTGGGTTGAAGGATTCCCAGCCAGCTTAGGGTTCTTGGTCCCCTCCGAGTCCCAACTTTCTGGTCTTCCTAGATACATCCAATAGGGTTCTGTCCACTGGATCTCAATGTCAAGGTTCCCACCCCAAGTTACAAAGCTATGGAAACTGATCCCTGAAGGACAAGGCAACATGTCACTCCAAGGCCAAAATTAGGTACAGTTGGGCTGGGGATTTACCTCAGCGGTGCTGGCACCTGCCTCGAAAGTGCAAGGTCCCAAGTTCGATCCCCGGAACAAAAAAAAAAATTAAGTACAGTTAATACAGATTATCACAAAATACTACTGCTCCACATATCCCTATCTCTTATTACTGAGTTCTTTCAAAGGCAAAAACTCTATTTGTCTTTGGACAGCATTCTGATGGCCATGTGGAATATATCCAATAAATTTTAGAGTAACTGATTTTCTCTTAACACTTAATATTCCTTAATTAATTTTTACTTTTTTCTCACAGAATGAAGATATTCAAATGTTGTTTTAAATACATCCTCCAGCAGAAAGTTTTCATCCTGTTTTTAACCCTATGGCTGTTCTCCTTGTTAAAGCTTCTGAATGTGGGAAGGCTCCTCTTTCCTCAGAGAGGTATTTACTTGGTTGAGTACTCCTTAAGCACCTCGCCTTTTGTAAGAAACAGGTACACCCACATTAACGATGAAGTCAGGTGTGAAGTTAACTGTTCTGGGATCTATGAGCAGGAGCCTTTGGAAATTGGCAAGAGTCTGGAGATACGGAAACGAGATATCATTGACTTGGAGGATGATGACGTTGTGGCAATGACCAGTGATTGTGACATTTATCAGACTTTAAGAAGGTACCATCATAAGCTCGTGTCAAGGGAGGAGAAGAGCTTCCCCATAGCTTATTCTTTGGTTGTCCACAAAGATGCGATTATGGTTGAAAGGCTCATCCATGCTATATACAACCAGCACAATATCTACTGCATCCATTATGACCTTAAGTCACCTGATAGCTTCAAAGTGGCCATGAACAACTTAGCTAAGTGCTTCTCTAATATTTTCATTGCTTCCAAGTTAGAAGCTGTGGAATATGCCCACATTTCCAGGCTCCAAGCTGATTTAAATTGCTTATCAGACCTTCTGAGGTCCTCGGTTCCATGGAAATACGTCATCAACTTATGTGGGCAAGATTTTCCCCTGAAGTCAAATTTTGAATTAGTGTCAGAGTTGAAGAAACTCAATGGAGCAAACATGTTAGAGACAGTGAAACCCCCTCACAGTAAGATGGAAAGATTTACTTATCACCATGAGCTCAGACGAGTGCCTTATGACTATGTGAAGCTACCAATAAGGACGAACATCTCCAAGGAAGCACCCCCTCATAACATTGAGATATTTGTGGGGAGTGCCTATTTCATTTTGAGCCAAACATTTATTAAATATATTTTCAACAACTCTCTCATTGAAGACTTTTTTGCCTGGTCTAAGGATACATACTCCCCTGATGAGCACTTCTGGGCTACTTTAATCAGGGTACCAGGAATACCTGGGGAGATTTCCAGGTCAGCCCACGATGTGTCTGACCTACAGAGTAAGGCCCGCCTTGTCAAATGGAATTATTACGAAGGCTTTTTTTATCCCAGTTGTACTGGCACTCATCTTCGAAGTGTGTGTATTTATGGAGCTGCGGAATTGAGGTGGCTTATAAAAGATGGACATTGGTTTGCTAATAAATTTGATTCTAGGGTGGATCCTATCTTGATTAAATGCTTGGCAGAAAAGCTTGAAGAACAACAGAGAGAGTGGATTGCTTTGTCTTCAGAAAGGGTATTTGTGGATAAAAATCCCTCAACCACATCTTCATAGTAAAATGATGAAAATATGAGGATCTGTGGTACATGGGAGTTAATATTAGAAGTGTTTACTATGCTATGTCCAATACCATTTGAACTTAATCTTCTCATAGTTTGAAAGTTGTCTCAAAATCCATGCACTGAAGAAAGCCTTCTAGACTTTCATGTTATGAGCTTGGAGTTGATTGGTTCTTTTAATGCTTTGTTTTTGCTTGTAATCTTGGTGAACTAAATCAGAGGTCTTAAATATTCAGTCAGTTAGCAAATATTTATTGAGCACCTACTGTGCACCAGGCACTTTTTTAGAAAACATTCAGGAATTAAATCTAAATTGTAATGACTTGCACATTGCCATCAGGAAGCCATGGCTTACCCTCATCACATGGTGATCTCGATATCTTCTCCATGTAACAATGAGGATTCTGCTCAAGACACGTATGGAGTATGTGGTGAACCTGGGTGAAACCGCCCAGTTCACAACAGTGTGTAGGTTTGGTGCCAGCATTCTGCTTGTCTCTTAGTTCAGCTCTGTAGATGTTTCTTAACTATTAAAATTTTAGGAAGAGAGACTCCACTACCTCAGCAAAGCTCAAAGAATTGTCCGATTGCCTGCTTGCCAAAGCTTCATTCACCTTTTGGGGCCTCACTTGTTCAGTTCAGGGTTGAGAGGACTGTGCCGATGTGGTATTTACAGGATGTGGGTGGCAGGTACAGTGGTGGGACTGGTTGTGATGGGGGGTCGGGATGGGTGTGCCTGAGGAGGAAAACAGAGTTTATTCAGCTTTTGGACCCTGTCATACATTGTCGTTAAAGGCTTCTTTTTTTAACTCAACTGTTTCAACACATTTACTGACAAAAAAATAAGAACTGATAAAAGAGTTGAAAGGGTCACACACCAGAACCTTAAACGTGTGTCACCCATTTCATAGGTTAGCATTCTAGGTAATGATGGAACACTCCCTATGGAATTAGTCCCACTTACAGAACCATCAAGTCATCAACGCATCTTGAAAAGGTTGTATGAACTGTGACCGCATTCTGGCTAATCATTATGTTCATTTAAAAATTTTTCTTTTCTGACCTTTGCCTAAGTGGAGTGCAAATTTCAGATGACAGAAGCTCTAAGTTTACTGTGGTCTTCTTCACAACTTAGATTCAAAGAGAAAAAGGTAAATTTCCCTAAGGACACAGCAAGAATATTTATTAATGCTATATTGTGAAACCCACACCTAAGATAATAATGTTGAGTGTGTATATAAATGAAATACACAGTATAATATCTATAGTATGTATTAGTATATACAATATAAACTAATATGTTAGCATATATACTACATGTTGTATATGTATCAATGGCTTAACACACATATATATACTAATATATACTAATACTATATGACTTTATTTACACACATAAACACATGCATGCATGAGTGTCTGCACACAATGACTATATTGTGCTGGAACAGGGTCCTGAAAATAGACAGTAATTTTTTTCACCAGTCTCTGGGAAATTGTAGAACTCATATAAAGATGCTTACGTTTTGAAGTCACCCTCAGGAGCTACTTAGAGATGTACTCATTAGTCAAGGCCAAAATAAGACTATTTAGAAGACTGAAGAATCTAAATATTTTTAAAATTCTTTATTCTCCATGTAAAATGCACTTTGCTTGTTTAAGAAGTTTGACACTAACTGCCAAGTGGCACCATTTTGTTTCTCCCATCTCTTTCACTTGTTTTCCACTTTTTAAATTCCCTTCAAGTTGCTTCCTTCTTCAGGAAACAAGTCTTACCAAGCCCATTCTTAAGCAGAAGCTGGCTTTTTCAAGAGGGGGTTCTGCAGAGGCCCTGAGCCAGTTCTTCGGTGTGTAAGGCACCAGACAAGCTAAGTTCCCTTGGTCTCTGTGAGCCTCAGGTCTGGTCTTTGTCATAAGCACTTGGGTGCCTATCCTGGCTAGGATCCTCACAAGTATTGTTTTGTTTTGTTTTTGTGTGAGAATCAGTTGAAAATGGCATATGAAGTGGTTTGAAAATGAGGACATACATTTTGAAATATGAGACTGTAGTAAGAATAAGGCAAACATAGAACCAGCTCCATTGTGGGACTTGGACAGTTACCTTTCTAAGGGAAATTCCATAGAACGGAGCCCACAGTTGTGATGCAACTTCTGTCACCAATTCTGTCAGGATCGGAGAAAAGCCCCATTCCCCACATTTGGGGTTTCTTTTGAAGCCAGTATGATTAGCAACTTGGTCCAGTGGCTTAGCTTGGGAGTGGGGGCAGAAATATTTTGCCCACCATCCACGATGTAATACACAGACAGGGTCCTGTTGAAACGTTACTTTTTATGCCTTTGGGCTTCAGAGTAGATGTAATGCTAACAAACAAGTGTCAGCCTGCTGGCCCAGTGTCTTGTCTTCTGGTGAAAAATGATTCTATCCCCAGGTCTTACGTAGTGTCCAGGGTGCTCATCATTTTACTGCTACATCAAATGGAAGAGGAAAAGACGCAGAGGTGGCAGTGCCTCCTTCCCCTCTGACACCTCTCCCTGCACTCAGTTCCTTACATTTCAGGGAGCTTTTCAGACCATGGTCTTTTGCCTTGCGGACCCTGCTGTTTCCCAGAGGCCTTCAAACCTTGTTTCTTCCCTAAAACCTTGAGGTATGATTCCCTCTGTCCAGAAATGTTGTGCAGTCTGTGGTGCAGAATTATTCTTTGTATAGTATTTATTTGATCTAGACTCCTAAATTATTAGGAGATGAGACCAGGACCTTCAGTTTGTAAATTAGATGTGGATATTAGATAACATTAGTAATGGAAGAGCTACCAAAATATATCTATATTATGTGAACAATCTACTGTAATATGTATTTAAAGACCAGTATTGCTCTTTTTAATGTTTTGCTTATTTTAAATGAAATATATACGTTTAAATTTGAAGGTTTCTTTTGCCTTCCAGAATGTGAGGATATATGTGAGTTGTATATGAGCGAGAGAAAGAGACATATTTCATGAAAAAAAAATGAAAATCTGTTTTGGGAATGTAAAGTGAATGTGTCCCTATGTTGCTACTACTATTTTTGTTTGTGTTAATGATAATAAAATGAGAATTTTGATTTTTTTCAAATATTTTCATCAAGTGGTCTCTAAAGTTTGTTTTTGTTACCATTTTAGAAATAAATTTCCCATTATATGAGTTTTAAATAGATTGAGGATTCATTTTTGTATTATGCTGCTAGTACATGTTAATTTTCTGGTATTGTCAAATAAAATCTGCTCCCAAGACCAATCCCCTGGAATTTATGAGCTTTCCTTTCTCTGGTTGTGCTGGGTCCCTATACAGATTCTTTCAGTTTATGGCACTTGCCCAATAGTGAAGAGCAGAGTTAATTTTGCCTCATTCTAAAAGAAACTCAATGTGTATTACATAGAGAATATAAGCACAGGAGTGTAAATTGTTTATTTTGAAAAAGTCTCACAGAATCTTCCAGGATTTACCTGTATCCATTTTTCACTAAGGCTAATTATCTGGGAAATATTCTAGTTTGCTTGATTACTTGGTGGGAGTTAGTTCTCAACACTGTAGGTCGAGCTCAACTCCCTCAATTGCTAGAAAATTAAAAGACTTTTCTTGGTTGAAAGGATTCCTGCCTAGATTTTAAGCCCATGGCCCACTGGGACCCACCTGTACCAGAGGCCCCTGGCCTTGCTGAGAGTCAAATACCTTTTCAAAAGCCATACCAGTTACCTGCCTACCTGGCACACAGAATGCAAGGAATGTGCATGCTATGCTCACAAGTCAAATACATCTCAAAGAGTAAGGGCATTTTAGGAATCTTCAACATAATAAAAATTAATATTCTACTCAGCCCAAGATTAATTCTAACTCTTGCCAAACTAAGCAAGCTTGAAAATCCATAGTAATTTCAGAAAGCATTTGAATTTACTTAGCAGTAGTGGTTGGGTACACAACATCATATTAAATAAAGACCTATAGCAGGAAGTTCTGTGTATGTATGTATATATATATATATATATATATATATATTTTTTTTTTTTGTACCGGGGATTGAACTCGGGTCCTTGCACTTATATTTTTGTGTTCTTTTTGGGTGTCCACAAATCTACATCTTAATTGGGACAATTGGCTTCTAGCTTCATGACACTGATTATGAGGAAACTTTGGCGAAGGAGAATGAGAAGGTGGTTGTAAATGTCCCACTGCCAGGAAGACGTTACTGTGTCGATGCATAGCAGGCTGAGCTTCCCTCCAGAGACGCACACAGAGTAGGAGCCCATCTTGCAGGGAAAACCACAAGAGGGCCATTTGCCTGACCCCAGTCTCGCCCTCCTCCTTACGGGAGCATCTTGAGTTCAATCATCCAGAAGACCAGCATCTGAGGAAAAATCATAGAAGCCTGGGGTAATATATTTAATTTTTTGGTTTTGCCATTGTTATTACTTCCTTTAGAATAATAAAGGAAATTAAACAGAAACAATTTATATGCATAATCCTAACATCCTGACAAAACCATTATAGTTCTCAGAATGCTCTTTTATCTTATGTGCATACACATTATACCTTTTGTCTTTTTTCCCATCGCCAGCATATTTACAATCACTTTGCCATGTTGGTACTTCTCTATGGCTATGTAGTGGCCATACTATAATTCACTCAGCCTTTCCTTTACTGTAGGACATTTGGGTTGTAAACTGCTTAACTTTCTTTTGTTTCCTTCCTTCCTTCCTTCCTTCCTTCCCTCCTTCCCTCCTTCCCTCCTCTATTTATTTATTGTTGTTATAGATAACAGTCATTTCACCTTTGAACATAGTTTCTGCCCTTGAATCACTTCCTTAGCATGCATTTCCAAGACAGGAATTACACTCCTGTAGAGAATGGATGTTTGGTTTTTGTTTTTGTTTTGGTACCGGGAATCGCACTCGGGTCCTTGCATTTGTGCAGCAGGTGGCAAAACCACTGAGCTAAATGCCTGGCCCTGGATGTTTTTATTTATTGGTTTCATATACATTACAAATCATCCTCTTTGGGAACTGTGTATGACACTGGTTGCCCTCTATCTATGTGAGATAAACTGCATGTATTCCAATAAATGGCAATTCTGATAATAAAAGTAAGCAAAGACGTTTGCCTACAGCAAGGATGTAGACTTTCATCTAACAAATCAAAGATGGTTTTTTAATACATGGTTAATAAAGAGCTATTTCAGAATAATGTTCTCAAAGGTTTTTAATTGATGACTGATTCCATTCCAGGAAGCTTTAGAGGCTGCTAGTTCTTTCCAACATCCATTCTCCTTGGCTTCTCTGGTTTTATTGGGAGTGACGATATCACCCACTGTTAATTCCCAACCTCCCTTTCAACTAGGGGTGGCAGATGAATTGTAAGCAGAAGCCACTGGGCATCTGCGGATGTGTTTAGAAGGTGAGTCACCTACTTTGCTTTTCCTCACCTCCAACTTTTCCCTCATGCCCAGAATGTAATAACAGGAATTTCACCAGTTATTTAAAAAAATAAGCCTGAGGTTTTATGGCAAGGATAGAGTAAAAGTGACATTTGAAGCATCCAAGACCTCCCACCTCTAGTCATCTTTGGTGGAACAAAAAACTTGATATGTACTTTAACTGTTTATCTTGGGTCTCGGTTACTCGCAGCTAAACCTGATACCTAACTGTATACCATGTTTTTCTAGGACAGTGGTTTTCAGACTTTAGTCTGCATGAGAATCACCTTGACACTGTGTCATAACTGCCATGCCATTATCATACCTCACAAAATCAACAGTCCATTTTCAAAATACCCCAATTGTACCACATATTTTTGCATTCTCTGTTTAGATCTACATCTACACATTGACTTGGTTTATTTTACTTTTCAAGTGTTCTTACTCTCATTTAGCATTGTGCCAACACAGGTACTGGGAAGCTGAACAATCCTCAAAGAAAGAAAGAATCAGATCTGGGCCAGGGATTTAGCTCAGTGGCACCATGCCTGCCTTGCAAGCACAAGGTCCTGAGTTCAATCCCAGGTACCAAAGAAAAAAGAAAAAAAAAGAATCAGACCCAACTCCTTATATATAGCCTACCATATACATATTAAATAATATCTGAATATGTATGGTATCTCAGTGTGATGTAACACTCTTTGCCTCACAGGCTCTTGGCATTTATCCTTATAAAGTGCTTTCTGTTCTTATTTTGTAGGTTAGGAAGGACCCCAAGGGGATCAGCTGATTTGCCCAAAGTCACCAGCTAGTAAGTAGCAGAGCTGAGAATGGAATTCAGCTCCATGGGACTACAAAATTTAAGCATTTAGTTGCCATACCCTACCTGCACTTTCTTTGTGCTCTGGTCTTGGAGAATAGTAGTAAAGTTCCAGAAAAATGCCTATGCATATTTATTCCACAACTGTGTTGGTCAGCTCAGAGTACTTTAACAAATAGACCATGGATTGGCTTGAACTTTCATCTCTCACAGTCCTGAAGGCTGGCAAGTCCAAGATCAAGCCGCGGGAAGATCAGATGTCTGATGAGGGCTGTCTTCCTTTTGTGCAGATAACTCTTGCTATCTCCTCACATGGCAGGTTGAAGATAGTGACAGCAAGCTCATCTGGCTCTTCCTATAAGGGTATTAGGCCCTTTCATGAGGTCTCCACCCTTCTGACCAAAGTCCCACCTGGTGATACCATCCCACTAGGGGTTAGGATTTCAACATAGAGAGTTCATGGAGGTGGGGACACAAACATTCAGTCCATAGCAACAGAGTGCAGAGATCAGAGATTGTGTGGGGGAAGGAACCAGGCAAAGCTTTAGAGGTAAGGGATAAGCCAAGGTGAGGACAGCATCCAAATCGCCCAGGGAGTCAGTCTTCAGGACCACCGGTTCCACTTCCTCTCCAGGGCTCTGCCCTTGGCCTTCCTGTCCCAGCCACCAGCCCTCACCACATGCTCCTCTTTCCCCAGACAGGCTTTATCTCCGGTCTCCTGCATTTCATCACTTCTAATGTTCATTCCACCTGCTGTAGTATTTTTTTTTTTGGTACTGGGGATCGAACTCGGGACCTTGTGCTTGGGAGGCAGGTGCCAGAACCACTGAGGTAAATCCCCGGCCCTACCTGCTCTAGTTTTAACTGCTTTTCAGCCCAAGTCCCTTTGGCCTGCTTCAAACCCTACCTCTTGGTGCTTGCTCAAGTTTACCTTGCTGTTTTTTTTGTTTTTTAAAAATACAGGGCGGTATGTTGCCAAGGTGACCTTGAACGCCTGGGCTCAAATGATTCTTCTTTGCCTCCTAAACAGCTAGTACTGTAAGTGTGCACCACCATGCCTAGAAAGTATATCCTCTCTCTCTCTCTCTCATTTGTGGTACTGGGATTGAACCCAGGGTCTTCACACTGAGCTACAGTTCCAGCTCCCCGGGACCCCCACCCTCACCTTAAAAATCTTGTATTTGGAGACAGGGTCTTGCTAAGTTGCCAGGTTGTCCAGGCTGAGCTCAAACCTGCAATCCTCCTCCCACAGCCTCCCAAAATTCTGGGATTACAAATGTACACCACCATGCTCAGCTCAAGTACAGCCCTGGGACTCATGACCCCAGTATATACTGTGTTGGGCCCAGGCTGCTTCCTTGTCAGAAGACCTAATTCTCTCCCTTGGAAGCACATTCCCCTCAGGGAATCCCAGTGGGGGCCTCCATGCTGGTGCTGTGGACTTTGCTACCAACACTGCTGGTCACTAGGGTGCCAGGCTCAGCTCACATACTTCCCAGGGCATCATCTGCTTCATGAGGCAACCACAGTTGGAGGCACAGGATGGCAGGAGGGCCAATCATCAGTGCTTCCAAACTTTAGAAATCACCTGGGCACCGTGTTAAAGCACAGACTGATGGAGCGGGTCTCCAAGGGCCGGTTTCTGCAAGCTCCCAGTGTTTCCAGCCGCTTAGGCGCACATGCTGTGGTTCACCTGCTCACCCTTGGGTAAAAAGAAGAAAGGATTCATTCAAATTACCTCTGAGGAGATGGAGGGGCCCATTTGCCTCAAATCAACACCTCATCAGGTGCAGGTGGGGAAGGGTCTTTCCCAGCAAGGAACAGAGGGGAAGGGGAGAGAGTGCAGAGATAATGCAGATTTCCAGGCTCACTGTGTCACTTGTAGTCATCTTCAGCTCACTGTCCCCTTTCTTGTGGAGAAGAAACTGGGCTCCAGGCCTCCTGCTGCCAGCATCTGCATATTCTGTTTGTTCATCTGGAGTGAAGAGGGGTGGGAGTGTTTATGCCCTAGGCCTCAGGAAGCCACTTGTCTCTGAAGGAAAACTAATGTAAAGTTCTCGGCTACACTTTAGATCCCCTAGGGCAGTGGTGGTGAACTATGGTACATGTTCAGCCACAGCAGCTGTCTGTATCATTGAAAGCTCTAAAAGGTTTGCCATCACTGCTCTAGAGTGTTTTTAACTGGGGCACACCTGGGTACAGGCAGTTGCAGCAGCTCCCCAGCAAAATCTGGTGAACAATCAGAGTTGCTCACCACCAGGCTGGAGATGGAAGCAGGATGTTGCTGGCCAGTGGAAGGATTCCTTGGCCAGAAACAAGGCCTGGTGTGAACACAGGAAAGCGCAAACTCCTGGTTCTTGAGCCTCTTTATTCCTCTGTGGGCCCTGTGCTTCCTTACCCTCCCTCACCTTTTCTCTCTTTCTATATTTCCCCATCCCAGTCTACCCCCTTCCTAAATATCTTCTCAACAACAGAAAAGGCCAAACAAAATCAAAATTGACAATTCCTCTTAGAGCTATGTGTGAATTGCAACCATATAGAAAAGCACTACCCTGAAAATTGGAAAGACAGGCAAATACAGGGAATCACAGCTTCCCAGGAGTGATGCCTTCACCTGGTGCTGAACATGTGGGAATACTCAGTGAAAGTGGAAAATTGCTAGAGGCTCAAGGTTGAAATTGGGAGTTGATAATTCAGGACATGGGTGTGTGTGTGTGTGTGTTTCTGGGAGATCTCCACACTTTTGTTTTATTTCTAGAAGATGCACCAAGTTTTTCTAGTGAAGGCTGGAAAAATCCCCAATGCTTTCAACAGAGCAGTGGGAGGAAAGTATGGCTATTAGGAAATAAATCTAAAAATGATGTTGAGATTTGAAAACAACCTTAAAATTGAGCAAGTGTGTAATTCAGCACCATCAATGGTAAGTCATTATATGCTGGGCATCAGGCTAGGTGCTGGTGACAGATCATGGATAAGACCAGTGCCCTCACCTCCAAATCTACTAGGAAAGCACTGTGCAAGTGACTGGGTCAGGGGTCCATAGTTACGGCTCCTCACATCTGTCCCTCCTCCTACCACAGTCCTAAGCTCTGTTTAGTTGATCCCACATTTCCCTAAAGATGGTAAATCTCGGCCTTTCTTGTAAGATAGGTGAGCTCCTGTGAGGAAGAACTGCCCAGTAGGATGTAGTAGAAGTTTTATGTGCAACTTTCTGAGAAGTACTCTTAAAATGCAGGATGTCCAAGTTCTAACCCCTGGTACTATAATGTGACTTTATTTAGAGAGTTTTCTGCAGATGTCATTGAGGACCGCAAGATGAGGTCATCCTGGATAGGAAGGGTGGTGGGTCTTCTCCTCCTCCCCTCTTCTCCTTTCTCCTGGCTGGAGAGAAAATACAATGGCTTGGAAAACGAGGTGGAAGTCTCAACAGGAGCACAGTCTCCTGGTGATGCTGAAGCCACCACCTCAGCCTGCCGATATGTGACCTGAGAGAGAAATTACTCCACATTGAATTAAGCCTTGGTTATATTTTATTTCTGTCTCTTGCCATGAATCTTTTGCTAACAGATACACTACCTAACCATAATGCAGTTGTTTTCTTCTTGGGCCTCTCATAAATATTTAAAATCAAAAGCAAAACATTAAGGTTCTATTTTACTTAGAGGAAAAAATAAACTCCATAAAATGTGAGAAAGGCCCTGTGTGATCTGACCCTCTGCTCCTTCTTCCATCTTGTTGTAGGCTTCATTTCTCTAGCTTGATACCCATGCTATACTGAGCCCCGTACATTCATTCCTTCATCCCACAGATACCTTGTGAGGAGTTACTATGTGCTAGGGCCTACCATGTGTTAGGCACTGGACATGCAGCAGCAAATTCAGCCACAGGACCAGTCTTTAAAGCCAGCCTTTCCTGTTCATTTTAGGAGCTGATTTTTTTCCAACTCAGTCTTTGCCTTTGTATTTCCTCTGTCTCAGGGAGCCTGTCCAGTAGAGCCTTCTGCCATGATGGAAATGTCCTGTATCTGTGCTCACCAATACGATAGCCATGAACCCCATGTAACAGTGAGTGCTTGAAATGTGGCAAGTGTGACTGAGGTACTGAATTTTGCTTTATTTCATTTTAATTAATCTAGACGGTCACATGTGGCTCTGCTCTCCTCCCTCCTCCAAATGGCTCACTCCTTGAGGAGGTTGTAAAATATGACTATAAGTCCCTGATGTGTCTGTAATGGACAGATGGGGTCTTTATCCCCCTCCTTGAATCTACATGGTGGCAGTGACACTGCCTGACTTCTGAGGCAAGGAAAGCAGAGGCCTTGCAGCCTCTTGCTTGGTCTCTGGAAGGCTGTGCCTATGGACACTTGCTCTTGGGGAGCTGCAGCTCAGAACCCAGGTGCCAGGCTGTGCCAAGCTGGAGCTCAGAGGCCACCTGTATCACTTCATCTGGCCTAGGCCTCACTTCTGTGGCCAATGTCAAAATTACCACAGACTTGAGGGCTTAAAAGAACCAAAATTTATTCCCATGCAGTCTGGAAGCCAGAAGTCTGAAATCTGGGTGTCAAAGGTGTTGGTTCATTCTGGGGCCTCTGAGGGAGAAACCATTCCATGCCTGTCTCCTAGCTTCTGGTGGTTGCTGGCCATCCGTGGCCTGCTTCTGAAGTGGACCAGGATGTGCCTCCTTGGCATAAGGATACTCGAGCTAAAGGCAATTCAGAAACAGAAGATGTAAGAGAAGCCCTCTCCCTGTCCTCTTTCTGCCTAAAGGCAAGATATGAATTTCCCTTGGTGAAGTGGTTCCCTCTCCTTTTTCCCATAGTAGGAGAAGAACAGCAACCATTGTCCCTGGAGACCAAAAGTGAGAGCTAAATCTGGGCATGATAGGCCATGATCCTTAGTGCTTCCGGAGATAGACACAGGAAGATTGCAAGTTTACGTCTGGTCTGGGCAATGTAGTGAGACCCCATCTCCAGGAAGCAAAGGGGGATTGGCAGGAATGTAGGTCAGTGTGAAGGCCCTGAGTTCAATCCTAAGTACTGCAAAGAAGGAGGGAGGGAAGGAGGAAGAGAGGGAGCAACTGGGAGAGGAACTGACTTGGATCCATATAAACAAATCTTGCTAAAACAACCCTTCCCCCTACAAGTTTCCTCCACATGTAAACTGTTTTTCTCTTCATTTGTCTTTTACCAATTTGTTTTGAAGCCTCCAGCCTCTGAATCTAAGTGGGTAGGGGAAGGGTTTTTGCTCCCACACATTTGTCCTCTGGATATACTACTTCAATCTCTGTAGCCATCTCCCCCTGCATCTCCTCTACTTACATTTCCCTCTCTTATAAAGACACGGTTGTTGGATTTGAGGCCCCCTATAAATCCAGGATGACCTCATCTTGAGAACCTTAACTGAGCTGCATCTGCAAAAACCCTTTCTCCAAATAAGGATTTCATATTCACAGGTACCAGGGTTAGGACTTGGACATATCTTTTTGGAATCACTTTTCAGCCCCCTAGAGTACCATAAATCTAAGTGAGGGAGACTAGAAACGATTCCAGGCCCCAGCTGTTTGATTTTTGTTTTGGAACTGGGGATCAAACTCAGGACCTTGTGCTTGTGAGGCAGGCGGTGGCACCACTGAGCTAAATTCCAGGCCCTTCAGCCCCCAACTGTTTGACATTCAGGTCTTCTTGGCTGAGACCCTGAACATTGTGGAGCACAGATAAGTCATCCCCGCCATGCCCCATGTGCGACCTATGGAATTTGTTTTAGCATAATAAAATAGCATTGTTTTATGCCTTCCAGTTTGGGATGGGTTTACAGCCACAGATAAGTGGGGATTCCTACTCATTGTTGATGTCCCAGTTCTAATGACATCTTCCAAAAGGCCTCCATAGATGCTTCCTCTGTGGTCTAAATTATATTCTCCTCTTTTCACTTTGCCCCTCTGATACTTAGCACAATTTGTAATTATGTAAGAAGTTGGGTGTTTTGATTTGTGTTTTGGAATATCATCCTCAACTGGCCTAATACATCATGAGGCCAATCTAGTATGTTTCATTCAGCACTGTGTCCTCTGCATGTTAAGTAAACAGCAAATGCTCAATGAAGATTTATTGAATGAGTGAAATGTGAAGCTTTCAGTTATGGAATCTGTGACTGACAGTGTCCTTTTCCTCCAGAGAAAACATTGCTCATTTTACCAGTTCAGCTCTCAGCAGATTAAAGAAGCTAGAAAGTACAAAGGGAAAACAATATTTTCCCTTCCCAAGATTCAAACATTAGTTCTTGCTGTTCCTACTCCTTGCATCTGAGTGACTGCTGTGGTTTTCAGTTATGGTGAAAATAAGTGAAGAGAGAGAGAGACAGAGAGAGCTGGTCAGCTGGCTAGCTGTATGATAGACTCTTCAATCGTTGCAAAAGCATTTGTAGGTGTGTAAAATGAACTTTAACTCACCCTTGTACATGAGTAAGCAACAATCTCTTGAAACCTCCTTCCATGCAACGAAAGTTTAATGACAGAGAGAAACAATGTCTCTCCTTGACATCTTAGCAGTTGAACATCTTTTTCTAGAAAGTCCCTTGGCACAAGTTCTGCTGTTGTTTTTCTTGGGAGAGTAACAAAAATAGGATTTGAATAAAAAGGTAAAACTTGTTAACACTAGAATCAGTCAGATTAAACTTATAACTGTTTATACAAAATGCCACAGAGATAGGGCCAAAAGAAATGAGGACATAGTTAGGAACTTTAACAAAAACTGTCCACACAGGGTGAGTGCTGTGACCATCACACCAGGCCCTATGGTTGGTGACCTGGTCTGTGATAAGGAGAGGATTTCTGCCTCATCCCAGGTACATCCTGCTTGCACAGAGCAGGAATTTTAACTTGATCTGAAAGGCCCTGTATGGTCATGTTCTATGTTTTTTTAGGTCCTGGATTCTTCTCTATTTAACATTTGCCAATCACAGAGACAAATGGTCAAAGTTCCATTCCTGTAGCGAACCAGATCCCATACTGCTGAGGTGTGGATCTCCAATGTTCCCCAAGGGCCCACGGTTCAAAGCTCAGAGCCCAGCTTGGCACTGTCGAGAAGTCATGGAAACCTAAGGGGTATGGTCCAGTCTTTTGTTCATTGGCAGCAGGTTCTCAAAGGGGATGTTGGGACCTGGCCCCTTCTTTTCCTGTTTTTTTTCTTTCTTCCCATAAGATGAGCAGCTTTGCTCTACATGTGTTCCTCACCATAGCTCCAAAAGCAATGGGCCCAACTGACCACGGACTGAAACTGTGAGTCAAAATAAACCTCCTCTCTTTATAAACTGATCATCTCAGTTTTTTGTTATAGTGATGGAAAACTGGCTAGCACTTACACTCTGAACCATCTTCTTATCTAACTTGCATATCCTGAGCCAGTATTTATTTCCCCTGCTCTAAACCACCCATGGGCATGTAGTGGCAACTAGAAACACCCCCTATATCCCAGGTTCCACTGACAGGACTCCAACTCACCAGCCTCAAGCCATTTCCCCTGTCCTGCCTTGTCTTTTTGCAGAAACCCCAATGGAGGCTCTGGACCTTTTCGCCTGCTTCTGCCTCCTGATCAGCAGAGTGCTTTCCACATGGCCTGGCCTGGCCAGCCCCTTCCTCCTGGGAACTCTAACAGGCTCTACTTTTAATGGCATTCACTTCTCCAAGTCACCACTCAGTCACCTCTGTGGATCAAAGTCCTCTGGGTACAATTGAGAAGCACCTACCCTTAGAGCTCCATGGTTACTGTTTCTTCTTCCCAGAGTGCTCTGCCCCTGTAGCCACCCCTGCATCCACATGGCTTCCTCAGCTCCAATGTCACTGCCTCTGAAAAGCCTTCCCTGACCACCCTGTCCAACTGATGGAGCACCCACTCCTGCCTCTGTCTCTGCTCCATTGTCCTACTTTATTTTCTTTACCACTCTCAACACCACTGATGCATTATATATTTGGTTTTTTTCTATGATTCATCATTCCCCATCCCACATAAGCTTCATTACTGGTTTTGACTGTTGTTGTTACAGTGTTCCTAACCCTAAGAACAATGCCTGGCACATAGGAGGTGTGAAATATATATTTCTTAAATGAATAAAATTCATTTTTCCAGAGCACCTGGCTCAATAATAAGCATATGAATAGCTTGAGTCCCTTTCAAATTTATAACTTTCATTAGGGCTGGAGATCTCAGAGAAGCTAATCCTGTGGATCAATATGACATGAATTTCTAAAAGAGAATAAGTGGTTCAAAAACATCATGGGTAACCCCAGGCTAAAGTTTATGAAACCCCAGGCAAGCAAGTTTGTGAAATCAATAGTAAGGACTCCTGGGGGCCAAGGAAAAGTGAGTGACTATCATTCTTGAATTATCCAGCCATGTGTCATTTCTCTGAACCTTTGCCTGGTATGGGGTGTTGGGCTCTGAGATGCTGAGAAGAAAAGGAAAGTACTTTGATCTATCATCGAGAAAGAGCACATGCCCTATCATGAGTACAGTCTGGGAAGTGCTTTAGTCAGTCTGGTACAGATGCCCTTTGGTGTGGCCAGGATGCTACCCCTAGGGGTGTTGCCCACTTCTCGCTCTGTGAGTGCAGCTCACTACTTGCAGGCCAGCTCCACAAGGGAGAAGCCGGCCAGCCTTGCTCCCAGCACTTGAGGCATTTTTCTTTTTACTCTGAGTATGTGCTTGTGGTACATAAGGATTAAACTCACTGTTGGGAGTTGATACATGTACACGATACATCTTAATTCTTTTTAGTGCCCCCCGACCTCCATCTCTTGGTCCCTTAGATCTATCTCTCTGTTTCATTTCATCTTTTTGGGGGAGGGGTATTGGAGACCAATATTTTATCTACTTTTAGTTTTGCCTTTTAATTTATTTATACTTTGAATTTCTCACTTAAGAGAAACCATGTGATATTTAAGCTTGTGTGTCTGATTTATTTCACTTAACATTATGGTCTCAAGATGCATCCATTTTCATACAAATGACTCTATTTATATAGCACAGTAGTACTCAATTTTGGAAAAAAAAATCACATCTTCTTTGTCCATTCATCTGTCCATGGACATACAGGCCACTTCCAAGATTTGGCGATTTTTAATTATGCTGCTAAAAACATGGGCATGCATATATCACTGTAACATGATATTTTTAACTCTTTTGGAAAGCTGCCCAGGAGGGGAATCACTTGGCTGAATGGTATTTCTATTCTTAGTTTTTTGAGGAATCTCCATACTGATTTTCATAGTAGTTGTACTGGTTTGCATTCCCACCAACAATGTAGAAGTGTTCCTTTCCCCCCCCAGTCTTGCCAGAATTTGTTATTATTTGATTTCTTGATGCTAGCCATTCTTTTTGGAGTAAGATGGAATCTCAGTATTGTTTTGATTTGCATTTTTTAGTGGTCAGCAATGTTGAACTTTTTTTAATGTATTTATTGCCATTTGTACTTCTGAGAAATGCCTGTTCATTTCAGTTGCCTATTTTTAATTTAATCTTTTATTTTAGGGGAGTCTCATTTTTTTTTTAGTTCTTTATATATTCTAGATATTAGTTTTCTGACCTATGAGTAACTGGCAAAAGAATTTTTTTCCGTTCTGTAGTTTGTCTTGTCACTCTTTTCGTTGTTTACTCTGCTGTGCAGAAGCTTTTCAATTTGATAGAATTCCGTTTGTTGATTCTTGATGTAAGTTTTTGTGTAGTTGGGGTTCTGTTCAGATAGTCCTTGCCTTTGCCTGTCTTCAAGTGTTTTACCTATTTTATCTTCTGGCAGATTAACTTTTTTGTTTTCATATTTACTTTTTTATCCATTTTGATTTTAGTTTAGTATATAGTGAGAGATATGGGTCCAGCTTTAATCTTCTGCTATCTTTCTTCCAGCATTGTTTTTGGCCCCTTTGTCAAAAATTGGATGACTGAATGTATCTGGGGTTGTTTCCACATCCTCTATTCAGTTCTATTGATCCACATGGCTTTTCTTTTCTTTTCTTTCTTTCTTTCATTTTCTTATTTTTATTTTTTGCCAGTACTATACTGTTTTCTATCACTGTAGCTTTGTAATATAACATCCAATCCAGGATTGTGACACCTCTTACTTTGCTCTTGTTACCCAGGATTACTTTTGCTATTCTCAGTCTCTTATGGTTTCATAAGAATTCCATTTCCTGATATCCTCTTCGATCTCCTTTTTCAGAGTACTGTAGTTTTCATTGTAGAGGTCTTTCACTTCCTTGGTTAGGTTGATTCCTAAGTATTTTATTTTTCTTGATGCTATTAGAAATGGTATTGTTTCCCTAACTTCTTTCTCAGTGGATTCCTTATTGGTGCTTAGGAAGGCTACTGAGTTTTGTGTATTGATTTTGAATCCTACTACATTGCTGAATCTGGTTTTTAATTGTTGAGGTTTTTGGTAGAATTTTTTGAATCTCCTATGTAAAGAATTATATCATTGGCAAATAATATTTTGACTCCTCTTTTCCTATATATATCCCTTCTATTTCTTTCTCTTGCCTAATTGTTCTGGCTAATGTTTCAGAGTAGTAATAGTGGACATCCTTGCCTTGTTCCTGATTTTAGAGGAAAAGTGTTTAGTTTTTCTGCATTTAATATGATATTTCCATGGATTTGTCATAAATGACTCATCAGCTTGAGATGAGATCCTTCTATATCTATTTTCTTCAGAATATTTTTTAAAGTCGTGAATGGATGTCAAAAGCTTTTATTGCTTCTATTGATATGATCATGCCATTTTTGTCCTTGCCTCTGTTTATGTTTTGTATTACATATATTGATTTGCATATATAGAACCATCCTTGCATTCTTGGAAGGAACCCTGCTTATTCATGAACCCTACTTTGTGATTATTTTTTGTAATCTATTTGCCAATATCTTTTTGAGGATTTTTGCATCTATGTTCCTTAAAGAGTTTGGCCTGTTATTGTTGTTGTTTTGAGTCTTTGTCTGGTTTTGGAGACTGAGTGATCCTGGCTTCCAGAAATGAATTTTGCAGTCCTCTTCCTCTTTCAGTTTCATTAGTTTGAGGTATACTGGCATTAGACCCTCCCTGAAGCTCTTGTAGAATTCAGTGGTGAATCTATCAGGTCCTGGGCTTTTCTTGGTAGTTTTTTAAATTATTGCTTCAATTTCATTCTCTGTTATTGGATTGTTTAGATTTTAATGTCTTCTTGGTTAAGTTTTTATAATTCATATGTGTCTGGGAATCTATCTGTTCCTTCAAGATTCTCCAATTTGTTGGAGCATGGTTTTTCATAGTAGTTGCTAATCTTCTGGGTATCAATGGTGTCTACTGTGACTTCACTTTTTCATTTAATTGCATTGATGTTGCTCTTTCTTTTCTTCTTTTGGTAAGTTTGGTAAAGGGTTTGTCCATTTTGCTTATTCTCTCAAAGAACTAGCTCTTTGATTCTTTTTATGAAAATTAAATCAAAATTTCATAACAAAATAATGACAATAATAATAGTTAATATACTGTGTACCATTATCTTTGAAGGAGTTACTCAGAGTACAAGATACAGAACAAAAAGACTAATGAAGAAGAAACAAATGATAATAGCATGAAACTTTCTTTTCAATGAACTAACATGTATAAATGAAACAAATTAGCATATAAAAATTAAAATATTTCTGAAATATCATAATATGTAATTTGGGGAAGTATTAGAACTTCTCCCTACTTCTATTTATGTTCTTCTACTTTGCTTTTTATTTGTATATATACATACACACACACACATACAATAAAACCTTGGATTGCAAGTAACTTGCTCTGGTAGTTTCACAAGACAAGCAAAGATTTCTAATACATTTTAACTTGATAAAAGAGTAGTATCTTACAATATGAGGAGTATCTGAGTTGAATGTCACATGATCACAACTGAGCCAATACTTTCTTCCTCTTCCTCTCTCCCCTCTCCGCCCTTGGGATTGTGGGTGATACCTCCCAACAGCAAGAGTTTATGGAGGGTGTCTCATCTGCACAAGAGGAAGGAAGAAAGTAGAGGAATCCCTCACTTCAAATGAGGTTAGGGAGATGTGTAAAGTGTGGGAAACAATGCAAAATTTTATAGAAAAGTACTACCCAAATAAGACTGTAGTAGTTTGAATGATGAATCTGTTTAGTGACAATTTAATGTCATATTTCCATGAGTCCTCAAAAGGAGATAAAAGTAAGATTCATTGGATAGGCCCCTTGTTAAAGTTGCATGAACAAAGATTCCACTGAGCCAATAGATAGCAGTGATTCTGTTAGTGATAGTGAAAGTCATTTTACACAATAACCCTCCTTTCTCTCTTCTTCCTCCTCCTCCTCCTCCTCCTCCCGGTTTTTGAGATAAGGTCTGTAATTCAGGTTGGCCTTGAAGTCACTATGTAGCCCAGGCTGGCCTCAAACTCACTGTAATCATCCTGTCTCAGCCTCCCAAGTGCTGGAATTACAGGCATGCACCACCATGCCCAGCAAACCCTCCTCTCTCATCTCCTTTGCACCAGACACAAAGGTTTTCAAAGGTAAGTGCAGGTTAATTTGATTATTTTTCTTTATATTTTGTATCATATTATAATATTGTAATTATTTTTATATGAATATTTTGGGGTTATGAGCAAATCATCTGTGTTTCTATTATTTCTTATGGGGAAATTTGCTTTGATCTACAAATGCTTTGGACTACAAACATGTTTCCAGAATGAATTATGCTCACAAACCAAAGGTTTGACTATCTATC